GGGCGGGCCAGGCGGAGGGGGGGGGGGGAGGAAACTTGCTTCATCTTTCTTCAACTCAGAGTCCTCTGGACTAGAATATCCATAATCCCCAGCCTTCATGGCCGCTTCAGTACATCCCAGGCTTTGTCCTCACATTTTGCTGTAGCCGGAGACTTCCAGAAACATATTGGGTGGGGATTATGGGAAGTGTGGTCCAACATATTTGGCCAGCCATGGTGGAAAAGGTTGAAAGAAGGTACAAAGACCAGGGGATGGCCCCAAAACTTCACAGAAAAGGTGAATCTGGGAGACTATTAAATGCATTAAGGAGAGCAGCTGCAGTGTTCCAGGAGCAAGATCCAAGGATATGACTTAGCAACTGGAAACTTGCCCGTATGTGCAAAGAGAGTATGATTTGTGGAGAAATTCACCTTCACTCTCAAAGTGCACGAGAAAAGCTAGTTTTTACTAACCTAAATCCCACTGACTGCAATAAGGTTGGTGTAACTGAATGACTCTGGATCCAATACCAAATCTAGGATTATAAGATTAAAAAAAGCTTTAAAGTGTAAATGTAATGCATTATAAGATCTCAGGAGGTATTCCCCATGAAAGGAGAGAATTATTGCATTAAATGTGTAGGTATTAAAACTGTGTAATTTACCCTGGGCACAAGATTTAATATTAAAATATTTATCTCTAAAGTTATGGAAGATCATCAGTGTACACGAGAGCAGGTATATTAAAGGTTATGTCCCAAGATGTGAGAAATCTACATAGCTGTACAGCTGCTTTGCCTTATCAGTACAGATTTCAATTGTAAGAAAGCAAACTATGACAACATAAGAAACTCTCAATCGGTTCATTAACATTTTCAAAGACCATAACCATACTTGGCTCTATAATCGTGTTAAAGTGTGTTGTATTTTTAATGTCCTACAGCATTCAAGAAGAAGCAGTTTAATTATCAAGAAGACTGTTTGCTTAGAAACTCCACTGATCAAAAATGAAAGAGCTCTGTTTTTCTCTGTACTGAATATCATTCCTGGCTGAGATAGCTCTATACGTGGTTTGGCCTCGTTTCAGGCATCAGAAGAACAACAGTAATACAAGGACAAGAGGCTAAAACAAACAATGTTATGCCTCCAGCAAGTAAGAATCTGTAAGATAACAGGACATATGTTTTCACTTGCACGGACCACTTTTACTTTGATATTTGAGTGTTAAACTAACAAGTTTCTTCTGTTTTCTTTTCCGCAAATCCCATTCCGATTCAGTCGGAAGCCTTAACAAACTCATCTGGACTTCTTTTGAAGTATATATGTGAATGATTGTGCTAGAAAGGGAACCAGGAAGCGCTTCCATTTAAAACCAGATGGGAATTCCACAACGGGGAATGGAATACCCTGGAAATGTATCTTCTGTCAAGAACACCCACTCAGAACAGGAATTTGGTAATTGTTTCTGTCCTGAAATGCATCAGCACTTTAACTCCCCAATTAAAACTGAAATGAGAGCTTTATAACAACTACAGATGTGTTCACATGTGGTTTTACATACAGATTACTTTCCAGTGCTGCGGTTCCAATGTATAAAGAAGTCAGTTAAATCCTCTGCTCTTTGCAAAACTGTCATGTTCTCCTCACATCCACCTGCCCACACTGTTTTGCCCGGTAGCTTATAATGCAAACATAGCAAAACCGTAGTTAGCTAGAAGTCCTACCAAGATGGAGCGATTTAATTATCTCTGGATGCTTCACCATCTCTTTACAGGTATACAGCAGACTTTTAAATGGGCAGCTGAATCTGCAGGGTTAACAGAGAGCAAAATACTGCCCTAAACAGCCTGTAAGCAAAGAATTATACACCGCATTTAATTCCTTCCACAGTTACCTTGGCTAAAGCTTTCAGAGGCAAGTGCATCTTGAGGGACATGTTTCTGTACGCAGGTTTCAGCCGCAATTCCTGCAACTTCCAGCCAAGACTAGAAAAGATCCATCTGAAGCCTTAGAGCAGTCTTTTCTCAACCTTAGCCATTTTAAGATGTGCGGACTTCAACTCCCAGGATTCCCCAGCCAGCCATGCTGGGGTGTGGGGTTCCGGGGGTTTTGGTTCGCCCATCTTTTAATAGGTTATGGGGGTGAAAAAAAGG